AAAGAAAAAAATAAAAAATAAAAAAATATCTTAAACATTCTCAAATATATAAAGAAAAACATGAACAACCAACTAAAAAGAATTAAGAAAACTAGCATGAAAATGTATATATCAACAGTAAGATAGGAACTGCTAAAAGTAGCCAAATAATTCTGGACGTGAACAGCACAATAATTTAATCCAAATTTTCATTAGAAGGGCCAGCCGAATAGCTCAGTGGATTAAAGTGCCTGCAGTGCGAACCCCGCCCCCAGGGCACCCTGAGGTGGCAATTGAGACTGGGCGTGGTGACACGCGCCTGTAATCCCAGCTCTCTGGATGCTGTAAACAGGCAGATCACTATGACTCCAGTCTATTAGTGAGACAGTAAACACCCTGCAGACCCTTCTCTAAAATATAAATAAATAAATAAATAAATAAATAAATAAATAAATAAATAAATTCATTAGAGATGTCCAAATGGGGACTGGAGCAAGCATAACATTAACCAGTGAACTTCTGGGGCTTTAGTACATGTTTGAAGTACATGAAGTTTACATTCATCTTTGGGAGCAATTACATGTATATAAGACAGTCTGATTCCTTTTTATTCCCCTTCACACCTTTTCTGAATCTCTATCCTCATTTTCTTTCTTACTGGTATTCCTATTGTTTTTAGTTATGGTTTACATTCATTGTAATCATTTGGTCTACATGACACATCTTAAATCCTTTTACTTACCCTTCCTCCCAATCCTCATTCTCTTGGGCCCTTTCCCATTTTCAAAAGATCTATCACCTTGTTTTCTTCTATCTGTCATTTATTTTGCTCTTTGTGCTTTGCCTTATTCAAATGAGATACCATACAAGATTTAAGATACCACTTTTTTAAAAAACACCACTTTTATGTCTGATTTATTTCACTTAATATATTTTCCAGATTTATCAAATGCCTACATATATCTCGAACTTATCCTTTTTTATATCTGAATAGTATTCCATTACATATAGATACCACACTTTATCAAATCATCTGTTACTGGACATGCAGGCTGCTTGCAAGATTTAAAAAAAATTTATTAATTTTAATGAGAAAGAAATAGCAATGAGACAGTGACAGTTTCAAAGCAGGTTAGTAGGACAGTTACAATAATTAATACATTGCATATTGTTGTCTTTGTAGTAGCCACTCACAGCACAAGACACAAACATGATCTCCTATCTAAACAATATTAGTACAAATCTTTCTTCTCATTGAACTAAGAGAAAGTAGCTGTATATCTATCCTAACTATTTTGTATATACATATATTTTTTTCACCAAAAAATGATCTTTGATTTATATCACCTTTTTTGTTTTGTTTTGTCAGAGATGGGTGTTCCATTGCTGTTAGAGAAGCTGTATTTGGAGAAGTCTTTAAAGGACCTTTTCATACCTGATGCCAGTTCAAATATTGTAGGTACTTGAATTCAGCAAAATGTCCCAATATAATTCAATAGTTCATAATAGTTGTGGTTTACCAGCAGAAGTGGCAATTGTCAGAAGTTGTTGACTTGAGCCTTTTACAGCTCAGCATATTAATACGGCTTTACTTTTTATACCTTGTGGCTATACTTTTCTGCGGGATGGTTAAGATCAAATTAAAGCAAGACCTATATAACTAATAATGTAACTTTTATATCTGGCAAGGTCAGTCAAATCCCCTCAGGATTTACCCTGAAACCATGTAGAGCAGCTTGAAAGTTGAGAAGCACTTTTTTCTTTCTTTTTCTTTTTTTGTTTTTTGGCTGTCTCAGGCTGCCTTAAGGGTGGGTCTGGTGTGGCATGTGGAGCTGGGGATCAAACCGCAGTTCCCTGCTCCTGACCGGGTTTGCCCGTGCAGGCACTTAAACAATTGAGCTAACTGGCAAGCCCCCTGCTTGTGAGATTTACCTATTATGAGTTGTGTTGCTATGAACATGGGTTTATATTTAAGGTTATGTCTCCACGTCTTTAGAAGATAACCTAGAATGAGAACATCTAGGTCAAATGAAATTTCTAGTTTTATTTATTTGCAAAACTTCATACTAACTTTTAACGGTTGCACTAATTTACCTTCCCACCAACAATGTAGGAGGGCTTCTTTCTCACCACAGCTATGCCAGCATTTTTATTGTTTCACTTTTTGATGATTGCTATTCTTTCTGGTGTGAGATAAAAAAATCAGTGCTGCTTAAATGTGCTTTTCTCTAATGGCCAGAGATGCTGAAATTTTTTCATGTTTGCTGGCCATTTCCATATCTTCTGAAAAGTGTCCATTCATTTTACTTTTTTTTAAAATTTTTTAAATTTATTTATGTGTGTGTGTGTGTGTGCAGCCAGCTCAGCCCACCAGAGGGCGGGGCTGGCTGGCATGTGGTGCTGGGGGATTGAACCCTGGTCCCTGTGATTTGCTAAGCTTGTTCTAAGTAGGTGCTTTAGACCACTGAGCCATCTCACCAGCTATTCATTTTACTTTTGTAAGGCTCCAATCAGATTTGACTCTCCAGTCCCCAACCTGCCTGCCCGCAGAAGCACTACTCTCAGCAGGGAGCTCAGCTAAGCACTGAAGCTTTCACTGGCAAGCACATGATGTTTAAAGGAAATGAGATAGGGAAAGGAATTTTGTATGTCTTAGGGACATCTTTGGTTGTTTGGAGACACCCAAAAATTCATACCACTCTTCAAAGACTTTGCCCAGTGAGGTGCAAGACAGCCAAAGAACTTCGAATGCAGATGTTTATTAAAACCCTCCTGCCCAATGTCCCCTGCCTTTTTCCATCCCTATAAAAGGGATACACTTCTCTCTGTTCCAGAGAGTTTCATTGCTCTCTGCCTGTCTGCACTCAGCAGAATAAATCCCATGCCATGTTGCTTTCCACAAGCCTGGCAGTCCCAGCTGGTGCCACACATTCTGCACCGTATGTTACAGCTTTCCTATTTCTTGATTGGTGCTATTTATTCTGGGTTGTCTGATTTTTTTATTTCTTTATATATTCTAGACATTAGTCTTCTGTTTGAGCTCATCCCCCTTGTTTGTTCTTGTTATTTTTTGTGCAACTGGAGTTCTGTTCAGAAAATCTTTGCCTATATCTATGACTTTAAGTGTTTTACCTATTTTATCTTCCAGTGAGTTTGTTTCTATTTTAATGTTTAGATCTTCAATCCATTTTTATTTTAGTTTAGTACATGATAACATACATGAGTATATAGTTTTAATCTTCTGTAAATACAGACCTAATTTTCCCAGCATTATTTGTTGAATGGGCTTTCTTTACTCCAATGTATGCTCTTGAACACTTTGCCAAATATCAAATAGCTAAAAATAGCTGGGATGTGCTTTTGTATCCTCTATTCTGTTCCCCTGTTCCACCTATCTGTGTCTCAATGAGATGTCTTTTTTTTTTTTTTTAAGGGCTTTCCAGGGAAGCGCTTATTTCACTGAGCCATCACCCCAGCCCCCTGAGATGTCATTTTTATCCCTGTTGTTTTGTCAAATAACATGAAGACAAGTATTCTAATGTTTTCTACTTTGCTCTTGTTGCCCAGAATTAATTTTGTTTTCTTGGGTCTCTTCTGGTTCCATGTGAATTTTAAGGTTGTTTTCTCTAGGTCTGTGAGGAATGTTGCTGGCATTTTAACTGAGATTGCATTGAATCTATCATGTCATCAATTTTGGAAGTATGACCATTTTGACAATATTGGTTCCACCTTTTCAGGAACAGGGAATATTTTTACAATTACTTACCTTCTGTTCAATCTCCTTTTTCACAACACTAGGTCTCTTTGTAAACATCTCTCACTTCCTTAGTTAGATTAATAATTCCTAGGTATTTAATTTTTCTTGACATTATTGTTAATACTATTATTTTCTTAATATCCTTGTCATTTAGTTCATTATTTCTTTACAAAAATGCTATTGACTTTTTTTTTTGAGCTGTAACCCCTTTTATTTTCTGTTTAAAATCAAACAAAACAAACAACTCTGTTATACACTAACATCTTCAAAGTACATCATTTGTACAAGAGAAAGACCGAATTCTTTGCCAGATACTTGAGGAAATCATGAAGATAATTCAGTAGTAAAGCAAGGCTCTTCTCATCCAGAGGTGTATAGGCCAACATTGCTCCAATTCGGACAAATAATCTCAGTAGATGTGGTGCTCCATA